AACTAACAGTTAATTTTGATACCACTTCTTGTCACATGTGTTTATCCTCAGCCAGAGAAAGCCATTGAGGTTTATGAGTATGCTTTGAAGAAAAACCCCAAAGATGGTGCTTTAGCCAGCAAGATTGGGAAAGCCCTGGTCAAGACTCATAACTACGGCAAGGTTTGTTTGCACACTCAATGAAAGATAAACAAAATTCGCACACAGACAAACCAGTGTTGACATATGGCGGCTATTACACAGGCAATAAATTACTATGAAGCTGCCTTGAAAACTGAGCAACAGAACTTCCTACGCTATGACCTGGCTGAGCTGCTGATGAAGATGAAGCAGTGTGAGCTCTGTGAGAGAGTCCTGCATGAAGCTCTGGCCCATGAACCAGGTACTTAAGACATCACAATACTTACTCACACACACACACACACACACACACACAGTGACGACAAACACCACAATAAAAAACAAGAGAATCTAGTCAAGAGGCCAGTTTGCGCACAGATGTGATGATGCAAATAATGCATCAGTATAAACAACTTGGTGCAAAGATGGAAAGAACATATTAGCAAATACTGTTTATGGAAATACCAAACTTCTTTGAATGTGTAAACCAAATCCAAACTTCCCTCTGCTCTGTTTTAAAACAAAGTATTTACTGATTTTTTAAAATCATTTATTGTTGTCTTTCTACTCTATCCAGTGAACGAACTACCGGCGCTCTCAGATGATTGCCGTTATCTGGTCCTGTTGGCAAAGATCCAAAATAAGGTTGAGAAAAATGAGCAAGCTTTACTCTCCCTACAAAAAGTAAGTGTTTCCAGTTATCTGGTTCATCTTTTTAAATTTTGGATCAAATATTTTGCAGGATTATTTCAAAAGAATTCTTACCGGTCTGCATAAAAAAGGTAGACATAGAGTCACATGAAATAATGCAAACTTTTTTTTAATTGTAATAATCTTTTACTTGTTTCTACAGAGATGATTATGATAATGATTATTATGAGGTTTGCTGTTCCTAGGCCCGGGATGTGCAGGCCAAGGTGCTGAAGCGGGTGCAGTTAGAGCAGCCTGACGCCATCCCCATGCAGAAGCAGCTTGCTGCAGAGATCTGTGCTGAGATCGCTAAACACTACACAAGTCAGAGGGGCTATGAGAGAGCAGTCAAATTCTACAAAGAAGCTCTTGTGTATTGTGAGACTGATCGCAAGGTCAGTGCAGCTGAATCAAAAACCTTCTGTGTAGTCACTGCAGCTGCGGTTAACAAGTTCTGGCGTCTTTTAGCATTGCATCTTTGTGTTCTTAAAATTTTGTGATCTTAGTTGTTGATAGTTTGATTTAAGCAAAAGGCCTGATCAATCTGCCCTACATTATTTCACAAATAATCTTGTCACATCAACTTCATTGAAATGAATGCACTCTCTGTTCCTAGGTGATGCTGGAGTTGGCTCGGTTGTACCTCACTCTGGATGAGAGTGATGCGTGCCAGGAGCAATGCAGCGTCATTCTGAAGAATGACCAGTTTAATGAAGACGCAACGCTGGTTTGTTCTGTCTTTCTGCCACCACAATTGTGACCATAACCTTTTCTTTGGAACAAATATATAGAACTAATTTCTTCCATATGTTTGTCCTCAGATGATGGCTGACATTATGTTTAGGAAGCAGAACTATGAAAAGGCAGTTTTCCACTTTCAACAACTCCTGGAGCGCAAACCAGGTGTAACAGAGCAAAGTTTCTTTTCTTTCTTTCTTTTTTTTTCACACAAATTTGTGCTGAATGTAAATGCAAATTCATGATTGTAATTTCAGACAACTACCCAACTCTGTCACGTCTTATTGACTTGTTGAGGAGGGCCGGGAAATTGGAAGAAGTCCCCAGATTTCTTGATATGGCAGAAAAACATTCTCCCAGGACTAAGTTCGACCCTGGATTTAACTATTGCAAAGGACTTTATCTTTGGTAAATTTGAAAGAGTGAGATTATGGTGACATCTGTTTCAAGTTTATTGCATTATGTGATTAATCTTTTGCTTGCTTCTCAGGTATACAGGAGAACCTAATGATGCTCTGCGACACTTCAACAAAGCACGGAAAGACAATGATTGGGGTCAAAACGCTGTGTATAACATGATTGAAATCTACCTAAACCCTGACAATGAGACCATGGGAGGGGAAGTATTTGAGAATTTAGATGGGGAAATTGGGTGAGCGGCAGTAGGAGCTTATAAGTGAAACAATAGACTCTATACAGTATATATACTCTGTTTTAAACCCACAGACTTACTTGTAGTATTCACCTGTCTCTCATCAGGAACTCCACAGAGAAGCAGGAGTCAGAGCAACTCGCTGTTAGAACTGCTGAGAAGCTGCTGAAGGAGTTAAAACCTCAGACACCGGGCGGACACATACAGCTCCGCATCCTGGAGAACTACTGCTTTCTGGCAACTAAACAGAAGGCCAATGTAGAGAAAGCCCTCAGTGTTTTCACAGAGATTGCAAACAATGAGGTAAGTAAACTCCAGATGGTGCATGTGATTTACATCACTCTCTCTTGTGTAAATATACCCACACCAGGAGCCGTGCATTATTTCAGACTCTCTCTTTCTGTCAGTCATTTCATTTGGTAATAAACTGCACATTGCACTGTGGTTCAGTTTTTTGAATTTTATTTGTTGAAAAAAAAACAAACAAAAAAAACATTTTATTATTTCAAATTATGTACTGAAGTCATGTCAGTATGGTTTTGGTGTAAACAAATGGCAGTGGGACAGTGGCGAGAGGTGTTGCCAGATTAATAACCAGAATTCTTTGGTTGAATTCAGAAAGACCACGTCCCAGCACTGTTGGCCATGGCGACAGCTTATATGATGCTAAAACAAACTCCCCGAGCCAGGAACCAGCTCAAACGCATAGCTAAAATGAACTGGAGCATTGTTGACGCCGATGAGTTTGAGAAGAGCTGGCTGCTCTTGGCAGACATCTACATCCATTCGGGGAAGAATGACATGGCCAGGGACCTCTTGGAGAGATGCCTCAATCATAACAAGGTCAGTACTGAAAATATTGTCACTGCTTAAATATGATGTGGTTTACGGCAATTTAAGGCAATTAAATTCACAAAAAATCTTTTCATGATATAATGCAGAGGCCGTCTCTTAGTTTAAGTACTTTGTGATAATAATTGCACTTTTTTTCCACAGTCATGCTGTAAAGCTCATGAATATCTGGGCTACATATTGGAAAAAGAGCAGGCATTCTGTGATGCAACGGTCAAATATGAACTGGCTTGGAAATATGGAAATCGAACTAACCCAACTATTGGTAAGGCAACTAAAATCACATGTCCAGTTCAGTTTATAATTACAATGTGGATAAAGAGAATTTCTTACATGTAATGTTTGTTTTTATTTCAGGATACAAGCTTGCTTTCAACTACTTAAAAGCAAAGAGGCATGTTGATGCCATAGATGTGTGTCATAAGGTGAGACACCTGTGGATGTTTACAGTTGAAGAGCTTCAAAACAGTTTTTATCCCATGAATCATGTTTGCTTTCGTCCACAGGTTCTGTCTGCTCATCCAAATTATCCGAGAATACGAAAGGACATCCTGGACAAAGCTCGTGCTGCCTTGAGATCGTAGTGTTAGACATGTGTGTGTGCGAGACACTGCTTATGTTTAGGTTTCTGTGATGAAAATGAGTTAACCCTGATTGAATCAACTTTTATTGTTTGGCTTTTACTGTCAAGTTTAAAGAATGTGCAGTTATTAGCATTATTTCTTTCTTTATTAAACACCATGTAATTCTTTTCAGTATATGAATAGCTGGGTGCTGACAGTCCTGAGGGAAAACAGAGTGCAGGGGGGGATTCAGGCACATGCAGGTTTTTGTTTCCTCACAAAGAGCAGGGGGCTCTTGCAGAGGGGCATTGTCTAAATGAAAGAACATTTAAGCTTTATATATCAAAATTTAAATGTTTTTCCCATCTGATAGAGAACCTATTTCATCTTATACATGATACATTCTTTTTTTTTCATGTTATATTTTCAATATACTTTTTCTTATTATTCCCTTCAGTTCATATGAAAATCAATATTGACATGTTTTATCTTATGATGAATATTAGGATGTAGATAACTGTGAAAGTTGTTTTTATACTTTTGAACTTATGTTTAAAATAAAGTTATTTAGAAATATGATGGTGGCTCTTTGGCCTGATCTTTTATTTATTTATTTGTTTAATTAATGACATAAAGACAGCTGACATCATTAGTATCCAAACAGACAAACATTTCCAAGCGTGACTGGAAAAAATGCAGGACATAGTGAACATTTTAATGGACATAATAAACTGGATGCCTGCCGTGGATAGGAAGTGCCGGGGAACACAGTCACTACAGATGGACTCACTGTGTAAGTCAAAGGCAGAAAGACTTCAAACTGGGCACCAGAGCGGGCTCCCTGCGGCTGGAATCCGCGTTGTTCCTCCTCCAAGCATCCAACTCTTCATTAAGACCATCCGCTGTGAGAAACATGGGAAATTAGAGGATTAGACAAACTACAGAGTCCGCTGGTGAGTGTCACTTTTTTTCTTTCTTTCTTTCTTTTTTTTTTTTATACAACTTTTATCACCAACGAAAGCTCAGACGTGTGATTTTAATAAAGTAGGCACATCCGCTTCCATGCGAAAAGACGTTTTAACTTTTTCCCAGAAAAACATGCTGGACCATGTGCGTTTCTTTTTCTTTTTCTTTTTTTTTTGTAGTTTCTCCCAAGTGTTGACGTTTTTAAGCTCTTATGTGTAATTTGGGTGTTTTCTCAGAGAGCCTGATTGGATGCGGTGGGCTGTGTGTGGGGTAAAGTGCGTTCCTCCGATATCTGTAACCCAGCAACTGTCCCAGTGAATGACCAGTTGAACGAATCCTATTAATGACACTATTATTGAATCTGAGGAACTCCGTCGAGGGGCTGCAGTGTTCCTCAGGTCAAAGTGACTGCAGAACATTTCAGCCTGTTTATCAAGAGGTTTGTCAGGATAAACGTTTGATTCGGTAGTTTTTTAGGCAAATCATAGGTATTTTAAATATGTTAATTCAAACAGTACCACCGTCGAACTTTTTCGTCGGGGTTGTCTATTGTAATACTCTTATTTCTTTCCCAGGTATGGAGTTTGACACGCAGAAGTACTCTCTGCGCACGCGCACCAGCACGTCTCCTCCTTCTACCTGAGCGCAGCGCACCTTGATCCAACGAGACGGAAGTTTTGTGACTTTCAGAAAACAGAGCAGACCTTTTTTTGTGTGTGTGTCTCCGCGGAAAGTTCGTTTGGAGTTCAAGCAACGAACAGAGGATCCCCGGTCAAAGCAGGATGCCATGCGTTGGATTTTATGAGAACAATTTAAAGGGCTTTTCCAACTTTAATCTGTTGTTCAGCGACTCATGGTACGTGGTCTTTCTCTCTGAAGGAATGCAGAGCAGGGCTTGTTTGCTGATTTCATGAGCAGATTTAAAATGTGTGATCTGTAGATAAAAGCAGACTAGGTTTAGTTTAATCAGGAACTGCTTCACATGGTTTATTTGTCTCTATTTCAAAGACCAAAAGTTTTCAAGTTGCTTTGATAAGATGTGCATGTAGTGACATGGCAAGACACAGCACTACTTACCTGTATTTTTCTTCCTGAAACCCAAATCTTTTTGATAATTACACCAGTACAGATTGCTAATCATCATTAATCACCTGAATATATTTATTCATTACAGCTGAAGTTCAGTCCAAAGTCGGCGTGCTCTCCATTCAAGCAGAATGACAGCTCTCCGCAGAGTACTTCGAAGGCGATTGCACCCACTTAAGCTGGTGATAGTGGCCCTTGTCTTTGTCACATTTGTGTTCCTCATACAATGGGAAGTGGGGAGCCAGAGCCAGCAGGAGGACCCCTGGCTGAAGGAGATGGCAGTGAAGCGGGATGCCATGCTGGGCATGGTGATTGGAGCTGTCAATAACTTCAGGGATGCAATGCCAAAGATGCAGATCAGAGCCCCTGTACGTCAGCAGGACAAAGCAGACAGCACGTCCTGTCTGCCAGGTCACTACACTGCCGCTGAGCTCAGGCCAGCTCTGGAGCGGCCACCTCAGAGTCCTCTTGCTCCTGGAGCTGCTGGGAAACCTTTCCATACAGACTCACTGAGCCCTGAAGAGCAGAAGGAGAAGGAGAGGGGTGAAGAGAAACACTGCTTTAACTTGTATGCCAGTGACCGCATCTCCCTGAGCAGAGACCTGGGTGCAGACACGAGACCACCAGAGTATGTCAGCTTATATAATCTTTATGCTTTTGTTAAATCTGTACAAAATAATTCATGAAAGCTGGTGTAAGTGAATGTAGTTGACCGAGTAATGTTCAATTCATTTTCTAAATGAGTTTGATTTAAAAAAAAAAAAAAAAAAAATCATCTAATTGCACTACCTAGTGGGTGTAAATGTAGCTTTGATACTTTACAAGAAGTACACCACTTTAGCTATTACTACTCCATGGATTCATGTTTTGGCCCAGAATATAACTTAAAGTCACACACTGAAATGCACCCACGCAGATGATTGTAATATAGATGGGGTAATGCAACACTGACAGTCTAACCCAAACAAATTCATCTTATTTACTTTTCGCCACTGGGGAAAATCTCAGGCAGAAACCACAGAGATGATTGTTCTGACTGGGACTTTGTTTCAGCATGTCTGCCCAGTTACTGTGGCCAGTTCGGGATTAAAGCACAGTTATGGTTGGCTAATTACAGTACATCTAAGTACATGCAAGTCTACATACAATGCCAGTACGTAGTCAGCACATGACACTGACATAAAGCCTGCCCATGTACTGGCTATCTTTTATAAGAGTGAGTTACAAAGTCTCTCTCACTCTGATATGGCAGGTATTGCAAAGGCTTCTACACATGCTGTGTCACATTTGAAATGGACACCCCACAGGGGAGAGTCTGCAGATGTAATAACTAGACTATTGTGCCACTCAGGAGCTATACTGGACAGTCACATCTTTGTGCTCTTTTTTCCTTCTTGCTGCAGATGTATTGAGCAAACCTTCAAGAGATGCCCCCCCTTGCCGACCACCAGTGTTATAATTGTGTTTCACAATGAGGCTTGGAGCACTCTGCTAAGGACAGTATACAGTGTCCTCCACACCTCCCCTGCCATTCTGCTCAAGGAGATCATCCTGGTGGACGACGCCAGCGTGGATGGTAAAATTCAATAGGGCTTTTCAGGACCGCCCCGCTCTCTTTCGGGTTCGATTTCATGCTGCGTGTTGGGTGGGCAGCTCTTTGGTGTGCCACAAAACGTGCAGAGAGGAGCTCCCTGCTCCTTCTGTGGCCCATGAAGTGGGTTACAACGGGAAGTGAGAGGCTGCTAGTGAATACTTTCCTAAGAGGAATTAGCAGCAGTTGTGCTAAGAAACGAGTCAGTTAACTCTTGTAAACAGGTCCAGTGTAGGTAGGAAACAAAATGTCTTTTTCATCTGTTTTGAGTCTTAACCTTTCTGTCTGTTCCCTGTGAGTGTTATATGTATGTATATGTGTACAATATTGACTCATATTATTTCTTCAAAATTGTCCCCCTCTATCTTAACTCCTTGTCTATATCCTGTGCTTTCAGATGTGCTGAAGGACGAGCTGGATGAGTATTTGAAGCAGCTGAGCATTGTGCGCGTTGTCCGACAGCGCGAGAGGAAAGGACTCATCACTGCTCGGCTGCTGGGTGCCTCCGTGGCTACCGGTGACACGCTCACCTTTCTGGACGCCCACTGTTAGTCAACACCATTGACGTTACTCAAACCATAAAACCAGTTTCATGTTAGCCACACCCTTACTTACTCAACGACAGACGAACAATGCAGTGTTTGAACTCCTTGAAAGCCAATGAATGGCTGCCATGGATTTACATTCTGAAATTAGCCATTCGCTGGTTATTGTTGAGAAAGATGTGATGCAATGTCCTAAAGTGTGTGTGTGTGTGTGCGTGTGCGTGCGCCCGTCAACAGGTGAATGCTTCAACGGATGGTTGGAGCCTCTGCTGGCAAGGATAGCAGAGAACTACACTGCAGTAGTCAGTCCTGATATAACCACTATTGATCTCAATACCTTTGAGTTCATGAAACCATCCCCATATGGCCAGAACCACAACCGGGGAAACTTTGACTGGGGCCTGGCTTTTGGCTGGGAGAGCCTCCCAGATCATGAGAGACAAAGGAGGAAGGATGAAACATACCCTATCAAGTAGGCAAAAATGCTGCATGAATATAGAATATGATAAATACTGTATATAAACTCTTAGTTCTTTTTGGAAATAATTAAAAACCTTGAATGAAATTTCTCCACAGGACTCCCACATTTGCTGGTGGGCTCTTCTCCATCTCAAAAGAATATTTCTACCATATTGGAAGCTACGATGAAGAAATGGAAATCTGGGGTGGGGAGAATATTGAAATGTCATTTAGGGTAAGACATTACACACGACTCATCATTGTAGATGTGCAGCGATATTGTTATTTATCATTGAGCCTTTTTACCCATTGTACCATTCCAATATTCAAACGACTGCAAAGGTGTGTTTAACTATGTCAGTATGCATCTGTTCCGTGCCGTCCCCCCATTAATTTGCAGGTGTGGCAGTGCGGAGGACAGCTGGAAATCATCCCTTGCTCCATTGTTGGTCATGTTTTCCGCACCAAGAGCCCACACACCTTCCCCAAGGGTACACAAGTGATTGCTCGCAACCAGGTACGGCTGGCCGAGGTGTGGATGGACGACTACAAGGAGATCTTCTACCGTCGTAACCAGCAAGCGGCGCAGATGGCAAAAGACGTACGTACTGCTTCTTATGTGCCTCTGAGATCTCTGGGAGTCTGTCCTGTGATAGTTTCAAATGTTCTGTCAAGTTCTCTGACTTTGATGGAGCAGTAAATTGCTCAGCAGTGTTATCTTCCACTGCTACGTGTTGTGGTCATATGTAAGTGCTTTTTAAGACCACTCATTATCCTCCCCCCTTGAGACAAGTTTGAGTGAATCCAACTCCAGCTTTAAGTCAGATCATGACATACTTAATACACTCTGCAGGAGAAAGCATAGAATTACAAGAGGACTCACTATTGTGATTCTCAATGCATGTTTTCTGTAGAAAAGAAACACATTCTTCAAAATGGAGAGAGATAGAGTAGCTCTTAGGAGCTGAAAGCTATTAAGTAACAGAGGAAAAGGGGCCTGAAGGAAGTCAGCTCTGGTAAATGACACTGGCTCTCAGCGTTTCCCAACATGTGGTCCCATAGGTGCTATAAACTGTTCCCTCAGGGCTGTACCTCACAAAGCGGGTCAGCCCTCTCCCGCTGCCTTCAAACAGACAAGCCGTCATCAACAGCTTCAAGGAACCCACTATAGTAGCTATCAGTGTGAGCAGCGTCCTCATCATTATAGTAAGTGCTCTCATTATTCAAGAGCACGAGGCTGCCTGAAAATCCTTTCAAATGTGCTGTTACACTTCAGTTTAAAAGGAAGTGATCGAATACACTTGTCTGTAGTTAATTCGTTTAAGGAAGGAGTCATTAGATCACTGGAACACAGTCATTGACTTTAGAGAAGTAAAGTGATGAAGTAGAATATTCCTCTTTAAGGCTGTCTTAGTTTTTTTGTCTGTTTTTGTTTTGTTTTTTGCAATGTTTTCCTTTCTGTAATCCGATGACAGTTATGAGGTCAAGCTATTACTCTGTCCAATACTTTGCTTTATGATCAGATACCTGGAAAACTAATTCCCATCAGCCTCAGCTGTACTTTGTATTTAGTGGTAATTAACAAATGTAAAACTCAGATGGTGAACAAAGTGAATGTTATGCTGTACCATCAGCATTGTGAGCATGTTAGCATTTAGCTTAAAGCACCACTGTGGCTAAGAGCTGCTAATATGGCTGTAGACTCTTAGTCTTGAATCTTGAGTCTTGAAGCTCTCCATACATCATCCATTTTAGTGTGGCTGGTAGATGGAAAAAAAAATGAATAGAAAATTGTGTGGACCTTATCAACATGGAAATAGTAGTTGTGGTCTTATGCTCAAAACTGCTTCACAGCCTTTCCTAAGTGACCTTTCAAAATGAGCCCCGTTAGTGTCCAGCATGCCAGCAGTGTGAGCTGACGAACTATTTGGAAGGAATTGCTTTGATCTCCTGCCTGTTATTGTTTTAACAGAGGACATTTGGAGATATCTCCAAACGCGTGGACCTCCGGGCGCGGCTGCAGTGCAACAGTTTCTCCTGGTATTTGAAGAACGTTTATCCAGAAGTCTTCATGCCTGATCTCAACCCACTTCGCTTTGGCTCTGTAAGATCACACACCCCACCACCAGCTCTCTTTCCAAACCTCAGAGCTCTGTCTAGCCACTGTGGGTTTCCACTTAGGATCTCCAGAGGGTAGCGAGCAGTTCCAATTTGACACCACTGAAAGCACTCCAGAGACTAAAGTTGTTTGAACAGCTTGCACTAGATGTTAGTTTTTCATTTTGTTTCCTCACACTGCGTTCCCCTTCCCTTCTCTTTCTCTGTAGGTGAAAAATGTGGGCAAAGGCTCATGTCTGGATGCGGGAGAGAACAATGAGGGTGGGAAACAGCTGATCATGTACCCATGTCATGGACTGGGAGGAAACCAGGTCAGTTAAAAAATGTACAGTTTATCACTTTTTGACAAAACATAGGATTGGCTTTAATTGTCAGTGATTGATTGCTTTTTTTAAAAAATCTTATTTTCCGGGCTGTAGTATTTTGAGTACTCCACACATCACGAGATTAGACACAACATTCAGAAGGAGCTGTGTTTGCACGGGGCAGAGGGGGCTGCGAAGCTGGAGGACTGCCAGTATAAAGGCAGGAACACATTTGTAGGAGCAGAGCAAAAATGGGAACTGAAGGATGTGAGTTTTTCTTTTTTTTTTTTTTTTTTTTGCATGTTTTTTGAATTTTTTGCATCTCTTCAGTATTATATGATTTTTAGATGCCTGGGTTATCATTTGTGTTTGTGTTCTCTTCATATAGAACCAGTTATTCTACGTCCCAGGGCTGAAAATGTGTCTGAGTGCCCGTCTTGAGCATCCCTCTCTCGCTGTCTGCAACCCCTCAGACAGATACCAGCTCTGGTCCTTTGTCTGAGTGTACAAACTACCACTTAAATAGCTACTCTGTATGCATACGCGTACTAGGACAATGGGTATACTATACTGTATGCAGTTAATATGCAAGTTTTTTTTTGTTTTTTTTTTAGATCGATGACATTGAGTTTTAATTTATTTTTATACATAGAGGAACTGAACTGTTGCTGCTGGAGAGTTTGGACTTTGGGAGAAATACAGTGTGGCACTGCTGGAAGGAAGCATTGAAACAATGCCCCCAATCAGACTGTGAACTGAGATTTGTGGAGCAATGAAGATGCACTGTGTTGATAAGTGCCTCTTTTGTGTTTGAGATGTTTTCATTACAACCAACACATCCAGTATTGGGTATATAAAGCTAACACTGAATATTTTCTGCAGAGACTTGTACTTGAATCTAAAACAAAAATATGCAAAAAGCACAGTGGATCATACATTATGAACAAGAGGTTCAAGTTGAAGACACAAAAAATCCCAAATGTTATGCACCAAAGAGAATGAAAGTGAGAATTTGAAACACACAAGAATGGTGAGCATTGTCCCTTTTTAAAATGTTTTTCTTTTTCTTTTTTTTTTTTAATGCAAAACCTGTTATTTGGTACCGTCCACTGCGTTGGATATAATTTTATTTTGGGTGGGGAGAATGGTTGGGGGATGGTGATGGAATGGGTGGTGGTATGTTGGAGTTGTAGCAATTTTATGTTACAGAATATCGGCCTCTGCGGTGTTGTGATCACAAGGGTCTTCAGATCAGGGTCGAAGTTCATATATTTGATTCCATTATTTTCCTGAGGTAAATTTTTTTAGCCTTTAACTCTTAAGACCAGAAAAGTTACATTACTGCAAAAATGCATCTGTATTTTGATGCTTCATTAACTGCATGAGCATCATGAGAGAATTTTTTTTTTTTTTTTTTTTTTTTTTTTTTTTTTAATGAATCTTTCTACAAATCTCTTAATTGTGGCAGTGTTTGCCTGTATTATTTAAATTTTTATGCTTTGGTGTTTTAAAAAGGGAACTTTCAATGTAAATGAATGCACCCAATGAACTCTGTTTGCTGATGAAACGCCTGAAACTCTCCCTCTACATGGAAGCAGGAGTCCACAAATGAATTTCTGGTGCAGGCACTAGTGTTTAGATGGCTCTGGAATATTGTGTATTGCTTTATGTTTGTGACTGGCCGATGAACAGATCAAATTTGAGTGTTCTCCTTATCTGGGAACTGTTTGGTGATGTCAGAGTGCCTTGGTATTAAGATGTGTTATTTTGAGCTCAATAAATTCAGTTGGGTAGTACCAAGAGGCACTTTGTGTCATTTCCCCCTGTGGTCTGCAGAGGGCGCTTTACACTAAGAAATCACTGAAGTCACAAAAGGTAACAACCTCAATGCTCTGGCGTGATGTGTGCGTGAATACAAAAATATTACATCAGGAGCGATTAAGATCAAAAGAGCAATTTTAATTTAATGTATTTCAAAATCATGTTAAAAATGAAACAACTGAAAATGAAGTTGGCTCTATCTACACTTGGAAAACCAAACACATTGAAAAGAAGTGGTACCATTTTGTGCAAAACGTATGCATTTCACAGAATATGAAATAGAATTAAATAAATCAGGCACATGAAGCTTTACAACTCACAACCAGCATGAAACAAAAGACAATTTTAAGATAGTGAATCAATTTACTCAATACAGACTTTTAGTAAACCACAATAAATACACATTTCAATATATCATTCATAATAAATACTGGAAAATAAAATCAAACACAGGATTCTTAAGTGGATGCTGTGTCATTGTATCTATCCTTCACTCACTGTATGCTTTGGCACAATTCATCTGTACTAATAGGCCATGTTGATGCCACTGATTGCCTGAAAGCAGTCTGTACACTTCTCTCGTACCACTGAGGTGGCATGAGAGGTCCCAGCTACTCACACAGGATCACCAAAACTCCAGCACTGACCCTCATAATTGTAAAGAATGGGCAGATATCTGCAAGCTTGGAAGAGGGACGAATACCTGTATTCATGCAGGAGCAAAGAGCTCAAGGTAGAGAACTTCAGCGACATATTACAGTAGCACTACCCACTACATTATTGCAGTCCCCAAATTGTTGAGCAGTCGCATCAATTTCCTTTTTGTCAGTGATTTTATAAAGATGTGGTATAAGGTTATTTACAGATTTTTGGTAAACAAATTTTTTTTCTGGCTGTTGTTTTCAATGGCTCATAGGACTCAGGAGTCATATTGTGTAGCTGTTAATTACTGATATGAATCATGTTCGATAATACGCTTTGATTGTCAACCTTGAACATTTGTTTCCCCCATATACAATTATTATTGAAACCGTGGCATACTTTTTATGAAACCAATGCCGCTTTAAATCAGTCAGAAAGATAGTCAATTAAAAGCAAGCCCAGTCCACGTTACCAATGAGTTTCTCTTTTTAAGAGAAAAGCCTCTTAAAACCCTTCAAACTATTGCACTTAACATTTCAATAGAGCAAATCAACATCATTGTTGGATCCACATAAATAAACTTTGCGTTTCAAAAGCACAAATCTCATAACCAGTTAATTTATGAAATACTGGCACATTATTTTGGGTCAATATTTTATCTACAGGACTGATTACTGTTGCTTTTTAAATGAAGCTTATTAATGCTAATTTAATGATAAAGATAGTGTTCTGTTGCCTATGATCAATCATAGAGCTTCTCATGCTTTTGGAGATATGTCAAAGTGCTACTTTATTAATATCCCTGCATGAATGAAATGTTTCAAAGAATAAATCTTTGTTTGTAGTGACACTTGCTAATCATGTTACTGTAAGAGTGAACAGTGGGGGGGGGGGGGGGGGAGGACACGACACGCGAGGGGCCATAGTTTTCCACCGTTCAAGTATTTATCAGTTAAAACCAACTGCGTGCCACTAGACCCCCACACATAAGTGCAAAAGGCTGTGAATTGATTTTGACATGTCTGACATTTTATGTTATTGATATTGTATTCCAAACATACAAATAAGAATTCAGGCTTTTTCATGCTTTTCAAAACCATAGAAAAGCATATAATAGTGACAAAAAGAGGAAGAGAAATGTATTATGTATACAACACATTTTTTATATAAAACAATGGCAATTCTTTTTTTTTTTTTCCTAAATGTCACTGAGATTTCCAAAACAGCATGCACATTGTTATCAAAACATTTACAATATATAAGTATACACATAATTCAGAAACAATAAATAAACTGACAATAAACCTTTTTTTTTTGCACATTTGACACATACAGTAGACATAGAAAAGTTCCATCTACAGTACAATATCTGCTTAAAACTAGAACTTTACATCTGAAATTACAAGATACATTGCACAGCATGACATAACTGATGTTATAATGTGTTTTTGATCTTTCCGTTTTGCACTTAAGCAAACACTGTAGTGGAGAAACCTTCAGGAGCCAACACTTCCTCAAAGCCATTTCCATCATGAACCTATGGCTTTATAGTTACAGATGAGAGTGTATGATGGTGCTGTAAATTGCTTTGAAATTTAAGGTCAGATAATTCAAAAAGGCCATGATTATGTTCCCTTAAAATACCACTTGGTCAGGCTCAAGTAAAGACGCGATAATGAAAGAACACTTAAGAAGGTGTGGCCCACTAAATGGCTGTGACCTCGGGGCAATGGTCTGGTAAAGGGAGGTTCTTATTATTGTTCGCTAGTAAGGTCAGATCTGAGTGTCTATTCACACTGGTCTCTTGCTGTGGCTGTTCAGCCGTCATACACGAGCTGTGACTGCTGTAGGAACTCTGGGTGTTATTGTTCAGGTAGTTCTGGAACTGTGTCTGGTTCTGGTTTTCAGGCTGCTCCACAAACGCCACTTTGGACAACGCCTTCTTCTCCTGATCGGGCGTGTAGCAGGTCAAAGCGGCGGCTGGAGCACCATTGCTCAGATTGAAATGGTGATTAGCTGTGTATTGTTCTTCAGCCTGATTCGAGTAGTCTGTGTACTGCTCAGCAGTCATGTTGAATGGTCCTTGGGCCACGCTGCCATTGGTCGTGCCGACAGGGTCTTGGAATGCTAAGGCTTCCCCGTAGGGTTCACTGGGTTGGCTGGTTTGGCCATTGGAGACGGTACTGGAGCTCCCTAGCTGATAGTACTCAGCTGAAGAGGAGTTCATTAAATAAGTATTTCCATTCATGTGGTTATCACGTGCCACAGAGCCATCGCTGTAACACAGCACAGAGGACAAGGGGACCACCTCAGTATGAGACACTGACGGGGTTGTCATGTCGTCCTCAAAGTTCTCAGACTTCTCTTCATCCTCATCGTCCTCCTCCTCGTCTTCAGAGTCGCTGTTAGCTAGGCTCTGTGTGCTGGAGTCGGACAGCCCGCTGCAAACACTGCTACTATCCTCCTCATCTTCCTCATCGTCTTCATTCTCCTCTTCCTCCTCCTCCTCCTCCTCATCTTCTTCATCCTCTTCCTCTTCATCCAGCGGCTCCTCCATCTCGTCTGCATTCTGCAGGTGCATGCCGGCCGTCTGTGGAACGGCGTCTGACAGAGAGTACTCCAACCTGTGCTGGGGTTGAACGAGAGGGTTTCCGCTTCCCAGGTCGTTCGCGTCGCTGCGGTAACCGTTGGTGGGGGATGCCTGCTGTTGCTCGCGACTCTTCTCCAGTTCAAGCTTCATTATAGTGTGCAAGAAATGGGTCCGAACACGGATGGGATTAAACTCCACTCTCCCGGTTGAGTTGCTGCAGCCCTCTTTTGTGCAACCACATGGAAATGACATACGGTCCACCTAAGGAAAACATAACATTTACTGTGCTGTTCATTTTATTTTGAGCAGATGAATAATGTAGTGTGATAATGAGGTGATTTAGCTACAAAAACAACAAAATAAAGCCATAGTCCCTGCACCTTCTCTTTTAAATGCTGTTTACAAGTAAAAAAAAAAAAATAGAACACTGACTGAAAATATGCATGTCATGGGATTTACCTGGCACTTGATCCCCGCAATGCTGCAGGCACAGGTCTCTGGGTCACAGAAGACTCTGCAATCACAGCCGCAGTCCTCTCTGGACATCCGGATGGCCCGCAGTTCATGTTTCTCTTCCACGTCAATCTTCTTCACCCCGGAGGAGCGCAGCAGTGCCCGGCGCTTTTTAGTGGTAAGCGGCTGCAGGAAGAAGTACTCGTCTACTTCTGTGTTGTCCAGATCGATGTCGTCGTCAGAAATGTCCTCTGCCGTGAGCGTGTTGGCCTCTTCAGACTCCACTGTGCCGTTCTTAGTCAGCTGAAAACAAGAGGGAATCACATCCGAGTCATTTTAGAAAAGCGAGGGAACAAAGAGCTCAGCCCGAAGACAAAGACAAAAACATATTTGATGCTGATATCGGTTGAACAATGATCATAAAATCCTTTGCACAGAGAGATTCTTTAAGAATGCTTTTATTCATATACAGATGACAAATCATTTACCTTGAGTTTGATTGAGTTGAGTTTCTCCTCCTTCAGGTGATCTCTGAGCATGTCTCTGTGGATCCTCTCCTGTTCCAGGGCAAATTCACCCAGAGAGTACTGCCTGACCCAGCTGTGCCTGTTGGACATGCCCAGCGTGCTGCCTCCCTGGCTGGGCACGCTGGTGAAGCCCTGCCGCCGGCTGAAGTAGTACACCGTCACGTTCTCAAAATGCACCCTCCTCGTCCGCAGGCGCTTCTCCCTCTTCAATATGGAGTCAGCTGCAAAAGGAAAAATGGGAAAAAACAGGGATGTTCAAAAAAAAATTGGTACGTTGTGTGTGCTTGTCATCTTCGCCGTAAACTGTTTTTGACATTTCATTAATCTCATGTAGAAAGAATTACAGCCACACGCTGCAGATCTTTGAGCACTGTTGATTGTTTTATCATTTCTTTCTTTCATATTGGCGTAGAGTAGAGCAGTTTTATAGCCATGTAAAGCCTGTTAAGATAAGTGACATGTTTATGGCAAACTGTGGAAGACATTTGCTGGGAGAATAGCCCTTAAATATGAGGAATTCTTTCTTGCCATCTTTACAACGCGCCTCTCCGCATCTTGAACTTAGCACAGCTTTGTAGGGAGGGAATTTCATCACATCTCTGTGCTTCTGTCTGGCAAGTCCTCAGTGTGTCTTTTTAAGGAGAGCTCTACAAGAGGGAGGGGCAAAGAGGAGGGCAACGGTGGAGCATAAATAATCCCCTGCCTGGCCCAGAGATGAAGAGTGCTGGTTCACAGAAGCAGTGTTCCCAGCATTCACCCCAT